AATATTTTCGTAGTTAGAGCGTAGAGGACATGAAAAAACACCCTTTAGTCACCATTACACTCGTGTTACCCAAAAGCAAAAATGCATCTGATACGTAGCTCCGATACGTAGTGATGCAGACAGAAGCGTGTACAGTATGAGCCAATCAGTGGCAGTAATGACAGAGCATGCGCTGTTACGCAAAACCCGCGATAGAGTGAAGCCGTGGAAGTCGAAGCGCGAAGTGGCGAGGGTTCACTGTATATCTCAACCGTACAACTGTGCATTACTGAACCCTGAAGTAGTATTACTGAACCAGTGAGTTCAAGCAGCAGGTGAGGCTGGAACCCCACTCTCCCCCTTGGCGTCATCTTTAATTTAATACTACAGAGCTGATGCCAGGGGCTTAGGTGGAGAGCAAATGTTTTGAGAATGATGAGGGCAATGACTGTACAAATGTGCTTTACACAATGGATGGATGTATGGATCGTGATGAGTTGTCCCCTTCAGATTCCTTGTCCCTCGGACATAAATATTGGTCTGAGTGGCTGAAAACGAAGGAAAAGTAAAACTGAAGTGGACTTGGAGTCTTTAATAGCTTACAAGTTCATTTCAAACATACGGGAAAACAGAGGGAAAAAAAGTTGTATGAGCCCTAATAAAACGATTTAAAAAAAGATATCAGGAACCAGATCCGTAATAACGATGATCCCACCATCCTCTCCCGGGCTGCCTACTTCTGTAATTCTTTCATGCAATGATATAAGCCAGTGCTTCCCAGAGTGGGTGATGTCAATGCTGGGATGCTATAATGACCCAGAGGGCTACAAAAACAGATACCTACACTTTACCCAGATTATGGGCTTTAGCACAAAATTTTTCACTGTCAGGGGAGCACTGAGTAATTAAAAAAATGTTTTTCTGAAAAGGGGGTAACAGGTCAAATTAATTTGGGAGCCTGTAGTATAAACCCTTTTAAGTTTAAGGGGTTGTAGATTGCGTACAAGCAACCTTAGTCGTGATTAATACATCTTCTGGTGCCTGACAATTAAAACTGAGCCCTTCATTTATCTTTCTGTAACATATAAATAACAACCACTCTGCTTTATTTGTCCTATATTTATTTAAGTACCCTAAATGTTCTAAATGTTGAACATTTATTTCCCTACTGTCTTCCTTCCTCCCAAAGCCTTAGGTTTTGTAGAGGAGGTTTTGAAGTTTTAATTTTAGCATAGTATGTCTTCCTTTACAGCGGGTCTCTTTTATTTTAAAAGTTCTTAACACACAATAGAAATTCCAATTCACAATCCAAATCCAGTTCCAACTTAGTACTGAGACTCAAGTGTATCCCCTGAAAGGTGCACTGCTCTTCACTGCTCCTGCACCTCTCTTCCTCTACTGCACTGTTTCTGCTCTGCTCCACTTGTCCTCCTTCAGATCGACAACATCACTGCATACGTTCTTCAGGCACAGTCAATGTAAGACCGATATTTTATGTCCTCCTGTTTGAAAATGAGTATCTTTTGTAATGATGTGATTGACATCTTGGCTGGCTGTGTAAAGGTCAGTCCCTTTCTCCCTTCAATAGTTTGGAAACACCACTCCACAGTCTTCCGGCTCAAAGGATGCATATGAGAAGCCCATGAGAGTCAAATTCACTTTCCTTTGCAAACAACCTATCTTTTCTTCCTAGAAAATTTTAAACGTTGTTTTCTTCTTCTTGGAGTTGAAGAACTTCACTAGAGAAAGTCTAAATGTTGTGCTTTGTGTGTGCTGCATGGATCTATTTACCTGAAGAATCAATTTTTCCTTCAACCCAGTGAGTTTTTCTTCTATCGTTTTCCTATTGCCTCTCCACCTCTTCCTTTTTCTCCTTTGGAACTTCCACCGCGCATCCATCAGGCCTCCTGTATGAGGCTCCAACATGTGTCACATGCTCATTCACCACTTCCACTTCTTTTCAATACTGCTCTGGGTTGCATGCTTTTCCACTTGACTTTCCAAACCACTAATTTAGTTCTACTGTTGTTTGGTTTTTTCCTTCGATTCAAAAATCATGTATTTTACAGTTCATGAAAGCCTCTGGTACACTTCAATCTGCGCTCTTTGGAACTCTTTTCTAAGTTAACATTCGTGTACACCCTCTCCCTTCATCCTGCTTCAAAGGAGCTGGTGCTGAGAATGGAGCTTATCTTCCCTCTCTTCTGCAGCCAAGACACTTGAATGTATTGTCATTTGTCTTTTTGCTTATTGATGGCTGCTGTTTTCTTACCCCGTGCTCATGACGGGCAAGATGAGCTTCTGGGGCAGCTGCAGCTGCAGCCTCTCTCGTGGAATTCAGCTTTAAACGGGCTCAAAAGCAAGCACAGAAGAGAGGAATTCCAATTCTAGAACCAGACTGACCTAGATTCAAATCCCACCTCTGCTATCTACTTTCTGTGAGACCTCAGGGAAATTATTTATCTCTGAGTCTCAGTTTTCTAGGATGCTCTTTGTTTGACACCAGCAGCTGTTTCCAGCATCCTCCTTAGGGAACCCAATCCTGCTGGCATGTAAGGTTTGGGTAACTTCTTTGGTGCTTCTTCTTAGCAGTATCTGAATTACTTAGGGTGGAGTTAATCAGAGGGCATCAAGGAAGATCAGGATCCTGGGCAGCAAAGCATCAGAAGTTATACCTTCTGCCTCCTTTGTGATAAAAGGTTGACAGGAGGGTGTGGCTACTAGAAGAATCTGAAAAATACTATAATATTTCAGCTTTTAATATTTTTTGTGACTAATTCTACCTGAATAAAATCTAAGCCTCTCCCCCTAACTTTCCCCCAGTTCTTTCATGTTATCTCAAGACCAGGGTCACATAGAGGGTGGATCCTCGGAGCCATCACAGATTTCACACTGACTTCAGTCCTGAAATGTTTATTGAGCGCTTACTGTGTGTGGCATTGAGCAAGGGGATACAATAATGGGCAAGGTGTAGCCTCTGCTGTAAACAAGCTCAAAGCTGGTCAAGGAAGCAAGACAGGAGGAATGGAGGACATGAGAAAACATGATCTAATGCAGAATACAGTCAGGGTCATGAGAGAGGTTAAACCATGTGTCAGGAGGGCTTAAAAGAAGGAGTGTTCCCGTCAGCTGGGGGTGCAGAGAGGTTAGAGGGAAGCTTACAGTCCTTCAAGACAACGATAGCCTTTCATTTGTCTTCATTTTCTCTTACTCCACGGCCCCTTAGAGCATGGTCACCTGCTTACGAGGGCCTGGGTCACTACAGAGTGCAGTGTACTGACTTACCAGGAATACATGTTGGGCTTCATAATTCCCAGGCCAATAGGACATACCATCCCAGCGTGTCGCTTGCCAAACAGTAGCTGTGGTAAAAGTAGGGGAAATCATTCAGTTTATATCCATGTTCCATATATGGTACTGCTTTGTTTTCAAAGTTCAGCGTGATCAGACCAACTACAGTGCTTCAAGATCTGATTTCAACCTGTTCTTTGAAATGCCAAATATTTTCCCCATAGATCAATGTTTGATGTTATCATTAGCCTGTCCTGGTCTAGGTACTAAATAGGCATGTGCTCTGCAGTCACTGCTCTGCTTTCTCATCAGGCTTTGAACACACGCTGTGGTAAATAAGCAAAGGAGCACTCGCATGGGGACTCTAAACACCAGGATAAGCGTGGGTGCCATGGGAAATGCACCCCAGCAGGTCAAAACTTACTAGCCAAGGCTTTGGGTACCACCCAGCAAGAGAGAAACCCAGGAATGCCCAGACACAAACACTCCTGCCCTTAACACAGCTGGTTCTCTGAAAAGTGAGCATGTGGTGAGGGAGGGAACAGCAGCCAACTCAGGGCCAGCCTGTCACAGCCCAGATTCCACAGAAAGGTGCCCGCTGCTGGGCCTCCAAACCTGCAGACAGTCCCACTGCAGGCTCAAGGCTCTCCTCCGTGGTGGGCACAGCCTACACTGCAAGTCACATCTGTCCAGTGGGGCAGACAGCCTCCTCCACTGAGAAAGAAGGCTACACATCCACTCTCTCGCAGCCTTCTGCATCTTCTCCTGGTCTTCCTCTCACTTCAGAGAAAGAGGCTTGGAGCTGGGACCAAGGCTGCCGCCCTGGATTGGGAGATCCAGTCCCTCCCACTTCTCAGTCAGGCCCCTGGTTCTTTCACTCCAGCCATCCGTCCCTCTGCCTAAGAACAACCCCAGTTCTCCCAGTTCTTCAGAGTCCCTGTGACCTTTGAACCCCAGGCTGCTTTCCTGTTAGACACTGCACCCACTGCCATCTATCCAACTCGCAGGGACCCTACAGAACAGAGTAGAACTGCCCCACAGGGTGTCCTAGGCTGTAGATCTCTACGGAGCAGACTACGTCCTCTTTTACCTATGGAGCAGCTGGGGGGTGGGGGGTTTCAAGCCACCAACCTCGCAGTAAGCAGCTAAATGCCTAATAACTGCACCACCAGCTTACCCAAACCAAGCCCACTGTCCCAGCAAGTCAATTCCAACTCATAACAAGCCTATCTAGGATTTCTTAGGCTGTAAATCTTTATGAGATCAAACAGCCTCATCTTTCTCTCAAGCGATGGCTGGTGGATTCAAACTGCCGACCTTGAGGCTAGTAGACCAATGCTAACCTGATACCACCATCAGGCTCCACCCAGGTTACCTGGAGCTTTTAATTTCTGAATCTAGTAGTCTAATGCTCTCTTACCTCTTTGTAGCCTTTAACACGGTTCACCAGTCCCTCTTTCTAAAACTCATTTTTGACCCCTAATCATACTCACAAGGAGCCAGTAAGCTACACGTTAGGCTGCCAACCACAAGGTCAGCAGTTCCAAACCACCAGCCATTCGTCAGGAGAAAGAGGAGGCTTTCTACTCCCCTCAAGAGTTGGGGTCTCCAGTGTGGGAATTGCACCCGATCTGATCCCGCCACACTGAGGCAAAGCACTGGGGGAGTGCAGCGGAACATCAGGGAATGGAGCAGCAAGGTCCCCAGGGAATGATGAAGGTGGACTTTGGGGCCAGGGCATGGTGCCCCAACAGATTGGACTGGAAAACACTCCTAAAGGTCAGCGATCCTTGAACTAACTACAAGCTTTTCTTT